TATACTTCATCGTCTGTCACTTGAATTGATGTATATCCTTCGTTATTAGGAAGATGACAAACAAGGTCGACCCGGCATGTTTCACTATCATGACGTAATACTTGGAAAATTCTATCATGTAATTCTTGAAGAATAACATTCTCATTTATTTCAATCGGACAATTCCTTCCACGAGTATATGAAGGGATAAAATCTTCCATAATGTTTAAATAACCATCATAATACAGAATGAAACGTGACATTATTAAGATTGATGTTGGAAAGGGTAGGCCCTATACAAGACATCAAACAAATAAATAGGTCTTCGTCATGACTATTTTATTTTATATTTTAATACTTTTACAGATGAATTACAAGACCCTACTTTAAATCACCGTGTCAAATTTATATTTGTAATCAAAGAAAATGTACTAGATTAAAATGATTGTGGTTAGGAAGATTCGAATTAAAAAGCAATTCATAGTTGTATTTTTTCTAATAATAATAATTGGACATCTTTTTAGGCTAATACCAATATTATAATATTTTTTAAAAATTTATATACTATATTCAAATTTTCTTTTTATGCCCTCATATTAATTAAATTTTATTAATATAATTTATTTTTTATCAATATAATTTATAATTAAATTTTGTGCATTATATTATTTATTAATATAATTATTTGAATTTATATTATTATAATTGAATTTATTTATGCATTGATATTTTAATAACAATTCTATTTTTATTTAAGTTTGAAATCTTTTATAACCAAATTTAATAATTATTAATAATTAAATATCATAATGAAAATAATTATTTATACTGTACGTACTATACTTATACTTATTCTTCTTTATTATTTTTTATACGATTATAATATAAATTTCTTTCTATTTTTTATTATTAAGTATATTTTATGAATATATATTTTTGGGGCAATATAATATATAATGAAATCATATACATTATATTATTTATTCATATAATTATTTTTATTCATATTATAATAATTATTTTAATTTGTTTTATGTATATAATACACATATTCAAATGTATCTAATATATTTAATTAATATAAATTTTGTTTCATATTTCTTATTAAATTTCTGTGATCTCTTTTAAACTCTTAGCCATGTGTAATAATCTTAACATAGTACTTCTCACTGTTTAATTAGAAAATTATTATCTTGATATTTAAGAATTGTATGAGAGTTACTGATCAGAAAATTATTGCTAATCCTTCTAACTAGTGGTACTTCCTCTTCTAGCTTACTATATTTTTTTTGAACTTTTTTATTTGTGACTTCGTATGATTTATTTTAGCCATAGGTTTTGAATAAGAGAATCTTAGCTTTGCTGAAAAGAAAATGTATATTAAAATTAAGTATGATGTAAAAAATATGTAATTTCTTAAAAATCTTTAAATTTGTTTTGATTAATTTAAGTTAAATGTAGTTGATAATTTCTTATTAAGTTTCTGTGATCTCTTTTAAACAAATTAATTAATCTCTACAGGACTTCAAAGGTAAAGAGATTCTCTGAATGATTTCTTAACTTCATATAAAATAAAAATCATCACTCCTTTTTTTTAGGATAGGAAATATTTTCTTGGTTTATGATTTAATATTTTTAATAAAATATGGATTTAAATCTAAAATTCTACTTTTATTATTTTGATCATATTTTCTAAAACGTACTGGAATAGGTTCAAACATTAAGAGAAATATACTAATTTTTAAAATAACATAATTTCTTTATTCTCTTCTACAAAAATATTTTCTTGCAGTTCTTCAATATTTCTCACCAAAATTTCAGGTCAAATTTTGCACAAATACCAAATAAATCATTAACAAATATTTCTAAAAGATTCAATTCAATCTTAATATTAACAAATCTCACATATATCATAAACATCAATAAAATTTCTAAAGAAAAATGTCAATCACAGAATTAAAATAATTTTCGATTATGATTATATTTTTTTTTCATATATCTCAATTTTACAAACAATAATAAATGTACAAAAATTAACAATATAACTTTTAAATAAATAAAACTTATGCGGAAAATAAACTAACCTTACAAACTTTGAGTTGATTCTTTAGATCCATTTCTGAACAAATTTATAGAGGCCGGGGGCTCTTAATTTGCGGCATGAATTTTAAGAAAAGGATGACCGAAATTCACGGGAGCACACAATTTGTGGATCACGAGCGCGAATGAATCATTTCAGCTTGGAAAAGAAGAGATAATGCCAAGCAAAATGAATCACGGGCTTAACAATCCGGAATAATTTAATAAAAAAACTGGAATTTAATAACCCGATTTCTTAAATTATTACCTTAAACAAGCTTAAGACGGCTTAATACAATTTCAAGATAGCTTAACATTATTAAATAAACTATAATTAAATGAATCCGGAGGATGATATATAATCCGGTTTATATGGAAACCGGAGGATGAAAATTCGGGTTCTATTGAAGTCGAATTTTGATGAATATTCGGTTTCTATAGAAACGGGATTTAATGATCTGGATTCCTTAGAAACCGAATTTTTACTTTTTTATTTTTTTGGACATTTAGGCCATTTAAGGCAAACTTACACACACAACGCATACACATGGACTCGAACCTTGGACCTCTTAGTTGGAAGCCTAAGCTCTCAACCAATAGACCAAGGGGAGTTGTGTTAATGGGCAAACTTATAAGTGACATTTGTCACTGCAAGGTGATACTCTTTCTTGCTCCATTGCTCGCCATTTCAGGGGTGGTTTGTTGAACCTTTTTAGTAGTGAGTATGATGCTAGCATTTGTTCTCACCTAATGCAATTATATCATACAGGTACCCTATTTCGCCCTTCGGAACGTGGTGGGATTTGAAATTTCAACAAGTATCACCTGACATCAATCAAACACAACCTTTCGGGTGTGTTGGCCAAGCCCTACACTTCCCAAAATTTTCCTCGCACGGAGGAGGTGTCGGGAGGCTACTAGATTTTTCAGTCAAATTTTGACACCATAAGAAACAAGGCATATAACTTACAGTGGACTCATTTGCAAAATTTAAGCAACAAATATGTAAATGAAATATTTAAAATGTAAGAAAATAAAAATAAAAATAATAATAATAATAGCAGTGGACTCATTTATTGCATTTTCTTATATTTCCTCCTCTTCACACTATATTATTTCTATCATAGTGTTATTTAAACAACATTGCTTCAATGAAATAATAATTTTTTATATCTTATAAATCATTGTTAAAGTTATATACCCTAATATATATTTTTATCTTGGTTCTTATTCTCAAACATCCCAATCAACTTCCCAAGACTTCAAACTCGCTAATGAGTTCAAAACCAACACAACTTAAGTTCCAAAATATAAAAAACATTTACACAAGTTGAAACATTACAAAAATCAGTTGAGTTCATCAGAAGAACAAATTTAAGTTCCCAGTAAAATGTTAGACATCAAATGGAATATCATTGCCACCCCATAAATAGTATGAAGATAATGAGAACTCATAATGTAATAATTTACATGAATTACAAAATTAAATTAATTTTCACAACATTTCTAAGCCTCTAGGAGGTGGTTGATTCATCTGAAATTGTTGCATAAACTGTCTTATCTCATCTCAAAATGAGCTGAACTCCACTCGATGACTTGCTATTTGAGCAAAATTGCTTCTGCTACCACAACCTCCTTCAGTTGTACTTCGAGGAAAGTATCGAGTTGGCATGACACAAGGGGCAGAACCAGCTTTTCATTTCAAGGTGGAAACATTTTGCATATAAATCGACTAATATTTAAAAAAAATAGAACATAATTCAAAACAATAATATTATGACTAATAAATTAAAAATTATTACAAGCTTAATAATCTATTTTACATTTTTTGAAAGTGTTGCATTATAAATTCATTGGGAATCAAATTGAAAACATATTTTTCAATATAATGCACAAGATAGTTGCTGAGTCAATCAGCACCCATCATACTACATAATCAATATTTAGCACTCATTGTAAAAAATTCTCCCTCGAATATAGCAGTAGTAACTAATAAAGTTAATGTTGACGTAATTAATCTGTAAACCAAAAGATACTCATAAAGAAAAAAAAAAACATTCTCTATAGAAAAAAAAAACATTTTCAAAAAACTCGGTACACCACGGTACCGAGTTTTTTTTGCCTACGACCGGATGCTTCTCTGCATCCGGTCGGAGGACGTAATACGTTCGAACACTCCTGGGCCTCCTGTTTTCCCCCTTTTTTTTTTGGCAAAATAAGTTTGTTTGTGGGGAAATGCCTAAAAATCCCTGAATTAAAAAAAATTATTAAATTTTTTTGGGTGGGCAATTGCCCGCTGATGCACCGGATTGTGTGCTTATGTGAGCCGGCGGCATAACATACCACCATAACAAACTCCTGCAGTATCGGAAGACGTCAATCGCCGAATTGACGAAATTGCGGTCAAAATGCAGCGACTAGCAATGGATGTTCGCCGGGAGTTCAATCTCCTTCGAACGAGGCCGGTAAACCCAGTTCGCCACCGGGACGAGGCGCGAGCAAATCAGCCAATGCCCAGGAGAAGAACAGATGGAGAACGCCACGGAAGGCACCACCAGGATACGCTAATTGATCCAACGGACTCGGAGGATGATCCGCTTCCAGCCAGAGGTTTCACTCCGCCATATTAGAGCGGTGAAGAGGTGGATGATTATGTTAACACAGAACAGCGGCGGAATCGCCGTCCTCAGCCATACCGACAACACCACGGCGAATTCAAGGTAAAAATGGACATTCCCTTTTTCGATGGCCATATCCACATTGAAGATTATCTTGATTGGGAGAAATCCGTGGAAAATTTTTTCGATTACATGGATATTGATCCGGAGAAAAAGGTACAATATGTTGCGTGCCGATTGAGGGGCGGAGCAAGTGCTTGGTGGGAACAGACACTGCAATCATGACGACGGGAAGGTCGAGCTCGTGTCCGAACTTGGGCGCGTATGAAACAGCTACTACGCACGCAATTTCTTCCCACTGATTTTGAACAAATATTATATATGAGGTACCAACATTGTAGTCAAGGCGCGAGATCCATAAGTAAATATACAGAAGAATTCAATCGGTTGAGTGCCCGGAATGATCTCAACGAGTCTACCAACCAGTTGGTAGCTCGATACATAGGAGGCCTCAAGGACAGTATCCAAGATCAATTGGAATTGAATTCCGTCTGGTCCCTGCCCCAAGCGGTCAATCTAGCTATGAAAATTGAGGTCCAGCAAAACCGCAAGCCCAAGGTGCCTTACTCTCGTCGACATTGGCAGGAACAAAATTCTACTCCGACTAAGCACCCGTATCAATCCGGATCGAAAACCGCACCGAATTCTCTTCCTGCAGCAGAATCAGCGGGCGTGAATGTTGAAGATAAGGCGTTGCAGAAACAGAAGGGCGCCAATACGTCTAATCCTTACGCTCGACCATCGCCGCTCAAATGTTTTCGTTGTTTTCAGCCCGGCCACAAGTCTAATGAATGCCCCCAAAGGAAGCAGGTGCAGTTAGCCGAGTTTGAGGAAGGTACAGATTCTGAAGGAACCACAGTTGAAATAGCAGGCCAGGTGGAAGACGTCCAAGCTGATGTGGGGGAACCGTTTGCGGGAGTCATGGGAAAATGGCTCTTGGCGCCGCGTCAAACAGGAATGTCGCAACGCCATGCCATTTTTAAAACTCGATGCACTATAAGCGGCAAGGTGTGTGATTTGTTAATAGATAGTGGCTGCACAGAAAACATTGTATCAAAGGCTGTCGTTCAAGGATTACAACTAAAAACCACCAGACACGAGAGTCCGTATAAAATCAGTTGGGTCAAGAGGGGCATGGAGATAGCAGTCACAGACTCCTGTCGGGTGAGCTTTTCTATTGGCAAACACTATTCGTGCGAAGTTTTATGTGATGTACTAGATATGGACGTGTGCCTTCTGATATTGGGCCGGCCTAGGAAATTCGATGTGGGTGTGCAATATGATGGACGGGCTAATGTGTATTCGCTGGATTGGAAAGGGCGGAAACTACGTCTACTACCGGGCACCTCCACTTCACAGTCACGGGACACAGATCAAGCTCATCATGCTGCCATCCACTTGGTCTCAGGGAACAATTTGATAAATGAATGGAGAAATCAGGCCCCAATGTTTGCTCTGCTTGTCACGGAAGTGTCTCCAACTCTCCCCTTACAACAGCTCCCACATGAGGTATCCGAACTTATAGAACAATACCGGGATGAGCTACCAGCGGAACTTCCTCCTTTGAGGAATATTCAACACCATATTGATTTATCACCTGGTGCATCGTTGCCAAACCTACCCCATTACCGCCTCAACCCCAAGGAGCAGGCCATTCTTCAAGAACTTATTGACGACTTATTGCGGAAGCAGCTGATTCAAGTAAGTCGCAGCCCATATGCAGTACCGGCATTGTTGGTACCGAAGAAAGATGGCAATTGGCGGATGTGCGTCGACAGTAGAGCCGTCAATAAAATCACTGTCAAATACCGTTTTCCCATGCCACGCATCGACGAGTTACTGGACCAGCTCACGGGTGCTACCGTCTTTTCTAAGTTAGACTTACGAAGCGGGTATCATCAGATCCGTATCCGGCCAGGCGACAAGTGGAAGACGGCATTCAAAACTCCACAGGGGATCTACGAATGGAAGGTCATGCCATTCGGTTTGTGCAATGCACCGTCGACGTTCATGCGGATGATGAACGAGATTTTGAAACCTCATTTGGGAAGATTTTGCATCGTTATTTTGACGACATCCTGGTTTATAGCCCAGATCGTTACCAACATTTGCAGCATTTAAAAATTATGCTTGACATCCTCCGAGAACAAAAATTGTTTGTTAACTTACCAAAATGCGAACTGGCGGCGACTAGTGTACGGTTTCTAGGCTTCATCGTTTCGGATGGTGGAATTCTTGTGGATCCACAGAAAATTTTGGCTATCAAGGATTGGCCGCAGCCTCAGTCTTTTTTTGATATACGAAGCTTTCATGGTTTGGCCAATTTCTACCATCGATTTATTAAGAATTTCATCCTTATTATGGCTCCGATCACTGACTGCCTCAAGCTGAAGTCATTTAGTTGGGGGGCCGACCAACAGCAGAGTTTCGAAGCCATCAAGGAAGCCCTCACGACAGCTCCTATTCTGGCTCTTCCAAGCTTCGACATACCCTTTATGGTAGACACAGACGCATCATCCATTGGCATAGGTGCAGTGCTCTCGCAAATGGGAAAGCCTATCGCCTTCTTCAGTGAAAAGCTGTGTCCGGCAAGAAGTAAATGGGCGGCATACGAGCAAGAGCTATATGCCATAATCCGTGCTCTCAAGCAATGGGAGTCTTACCTTTTACATCAAGACTTCGTTTTATGTAGCGATAACAAGGCATTGCAGTATATAAATACTCAAAAAAATATTAGCCGTATGCATGCGCGATGGCTAGTTTTCCTACAGCGCTTCTCATTTACATTGAAGCATAAACCGGGTGTCGAGAACACCGTGGCCGATGCCCTTAGCCGAAGGGCTATTTTACTCACAACACTATAAGCGGAACTTGTGGGGCTGGAGCATTTGAAGGAATTGTATGCAGAGGATGAAGATTTCGGAGCCATTTGGGAGAAATGCCAGGCCACATTACAATGTGATGACTATTCTATCAGCCACGGTTTCCTCTTCAAGTATGATTTGTTGTGTATTCCCATATCTTCCTGGCAGCAGCACTTAATTAGGGAAACACATTGCGGAGGCCTTGCTGCACACCTGGGACAAGACAACACCCTCCGACAATTACAAGCCCGTTTCTTCTGGCAGAGATTACGACGTGATACTTTGCGATTTGTAGAAAGTTGTCCCATATGCCAAACTTTCAAAGGCAGCGCTCAAAACAGTGGCTTGTACATGCCATTGCCCGTACCACATTCAATATGGGAAGATGTTAGCATGGATTTCATTCTGGGCCTACCGCGGACAAGGCGAGGTAACGACTCGATACTTGTAGTCGTCGACAGGTTTTCTAAAATGAGCCATTTTCTCTCTTGTAAGAAAACCTATAATGCTATGAATATCGCTACTCTTTTCTTTAACGAAATCGTTCGTTTACATGGGGTGCCAAAAAGTATCACTTCTGACCGCGATGTCAAATTTATTAGCCATTTTTGGCGTGAACTGTGGAAACGTCTTGGAACCGACCTAAGATTCAGCTCCGCCTACCACACCCTCAGTCTGACGGTCAGACTGAAGTTGTAAACAGGACGTTGGGCAACATGCTTCGATGCCTAGTGCAGGAGCAACCGAAGCAATGGGAAGAAGTTCTCTCACGGGCTGAATTCGCTTTCAATGCAATGACAAACCGCTCCACTGGAAAGGCACCATTTGCCATAGTCTACACTAAGGCTCCCAATACTGTTATTGACCTTTCCAATATTCCTAATTGTCATTCTGCTGCAGCCGCCTCCTTTACCAAAGATTACTCCACCATGCTAGCTGACATTCGGCAACAGATTATCAACTCAAACAGTCGCTACAAGGAAGCTGTCGATGTGCATCGCCGAGAACGTCAATTCCAGGTCGGGGATCTCGTCATGGTCCGCCTCCGACGCGAACGTTTTCCACCAGGAGCATACTCCAAGCTAGCTAAACGCAAACTCGGACCGGTACCAATTATTGCAAAAATTAATGATAATGCTTATAGTATTGGATTACCAGCAGATTGCAATACATCATCCACCTTCAATGTGTCCGATATCTCCGCATACAAACCAGCCGATGACGCAGTTGTTTCTATTAGCTCGTCGGAGTCGAGCTCTTCTGAAGCCGGGGAGGACTGATGCACCGGATTGTGTGCTTATGTGAGCCGACGGCATAACATACCACCATAACAAACTCCTGCAGTATCCACTACTTTATTTTCTGTTTTTAGTATGGCTCAATTACTTACAGCTTTTTAGTAGTTACACTAATATAGCTAGAGTACAAGTGCAAGAGATACAAATAGGAGAAGAAAAAGAGAAACTGTAGCTTTTTATCTTCATCTTTACAATAGCTATACAAAGAGAATACAGAGGTATTCTTCTCCCTATTCCTGTTTGCTTGTTTGCTGTCTTTTGGCTTATTGTTTTCCAGGTACCTCGATCCTGCAGAAGGACATCACCCGCCTTCACTGATGCATGGGTCCACCCCTGCATGACAACAAACCCTTGATTTTGAACTCGACCTGAATGTTATGGTCTCATAATTAAATTAAAACTCTAACATTAGCTTCCATATTTCAGTCTTCAGGTGTGAGACCTTCCTGAGCAAGTAGTTCTCATGCTTATTTCTTCATTAAAATAAATTTAGTTAAATCTGATGATGAACTGATTCTGAAAAAAAAAAAATTGTAATCACTATATTTACCCATCACTATAAAGCATCCTCATATGACTATATTTCATCTTTGTGCATCCTATTAATTTTTCATAATTGCAAGTTGTCCTTAATAGACCACAATAAATACTATAATAATAATGTTAGTAAAAAAAAGAAATATTTACTAGTTAAAATTTATACATTTAAGTTGGAATTATTTTTGGCTGTCTCCAAACCAAGCTCACATGACCCATCGTGCGAGGACAAGTTTGCTTTGTAGCATTGGTAGAATTTGTGGCAGCCCTTCCCGATAATGCATGATAGAGTTAGTAGCAACCATTTATTATATCAAACATCTAATAAGTAGGCTTAATCTCAAAATTGACCTTATCCTCTAGCTAGTTTCGACCATTATGTAACAAGATGGCACCACCGCAATGGATCAACTCCATTTGGGGCCTTCTCTATAATTTCCTGAATAGGTATGTTATCCCAATGCTTAGCACTCAAAGTGATTTTATGATTACGTCACTTAACACTGTGGACCTCCGAAGGAGTACCGCTCATGGGGTTCGAATGCAGAGGGTACGACCGCACTATCCCGTAGGACAAAATGATCTTAGGCCTCTACGCTCGACAAGAACAGGTCGATGAAAGGGAAGATTGGATTGTGCATACGACTAACCATTGAGGATATAGGCTCTCGCCAACACACCCCAATGGGTAGTAATATACACGACCTAGTCACGGGTTTCCCCCACCCGATATAACAGCTCAAGAAAACTCTTGATTTAGTAGATGTGGGGCCAAGTTTCCCACGGGCGCAAGCCCCCGTGGTTAATTACATCCCAGGCCGGAGGCCGAGAAAACTCTTGATTAAGGATCATATATTATCCCCTCCTAAAATGGGATTGACACGAGGGTGTAGACTAAGAAGTCCTACTCAAAAGGGAAGAAGGGTCTCAAAGAGCTGAATCAACATGCATGGCTCATACCAGCATTCGGAGGCTCTAAGGTACTAAATGAAAATTAGAGAAAATAAAAGTCAGGCATCCATTCATATACATGAGAGAAGGATGGAGGTGGCATCATTCTGTGACGCAGATAAATAGGATTTATAATCCCTAAAAAGAAGGGACCTACCTACTATTTTAGACATACTACGAGACCGAATGTAGTAGCCTCGAACCCTAGATCTAAATTGGGCTTAGTATTCTACGAGCAACACTGAGACCCATGTCCTAACTAATGCAATGAAAAATTTGGACTTACCCCGTCCTGGATTGGGGAGCCAACTAACCGCCTAGTCGCTTCAAAACCATGATATCAAGTCATTTGTGAAAGATAGGTGGATGGTACATTTATTGGAAATAGGACCGACATCTAGAGAGTTGCCTAATTGGTCTTGGACTTATGCTGGGTAGATGCTCCTAGATAATACAATTAAAATATTATTTTAATTGATTACTAATGCAATGCATGACAGTTAAAGTAGCTAAATCATGTATGCATAAGACTTTAAAAACATGCTTATAGAAAATAATTTTTTGAAAAGACTGAGTCTTCCTAGGTCCGGCACTTCATCCTCATAGGCCAAATTATCCGGTCCCTACCAGCAGGCAAGGAGATGTCTTATAAGAAGGAGAGAGAAATGCATTAATATGCATACGACCCCAAACAATTCCGGCAGTTCCCTAGGTTCTTTAGATTTATATGTTATTTAAACTTAGAATATTGAAGATTAAATATGAGTAGAAAAATTTTGCAATCCTTAAAAGAGCCTAACACAATCCAAGCTAAAACAAAATCAACATGCAAGAAAGAAAACTAGAAAAGGAAGATAATTTCTACTATGCAATCAGGTAAGCACATCAATATAAATCTAGAAAAATAATCAATTAAATGTCTATAGGCAAACTGACCTTATTACAACCCAGGGTATACAGAAAGTAAAGTGGTCGGGCACCACTACCAACAACCCGAATTTTTAAGCCTACGACAGACGCCAACAACTTTGAGTGGGATATTGGGTCTCCAATCTTCAGTCTTCTGGATGTCTTCTCCTTGGACTCTTTGGATCTCTCCTCCTTGGACTGCTTGGAACTCTCCTCCTTTGACTCCTTGGATCCATCGTGGCATGAATATCCAAACGAAGAGACAATTCTCCCCTTTAGGGAGTATTGCCTTTTCTCTTTGGATATCTAAAGCCATCCAACTCGATCTTCCAAATGAAAGAAGACTCTCCCCTTTGAGGATGCTTTCTTCTTTTGTAATTCGAGTTGGATAAGAATATCCCAACTCAGAATCATTTTCACAACTCTTAACAATTTATTACAAATTTTACATCAATTTGAAAAGCAAAAAAATTCTAAAGTCCCTGCAAGGTTATCCTAATAAAAAAATCATCCCAAGCAGTTATGATCACAAGCAGTTATATAAAATAAAATAACCCATTGAAGTTGTGTCAAACCATGCTCTTAATCATGAGGGCTAAGCAGTCAACCTGTAGCAGTTATATAGATATATATATATATATATATGGCACTTCTATCCTAAGGGTAGATCTAATACCCATCACATCATATCCAGAGGCAGTAAAAGTAAGCAAACACACCAATCAATTTCAAACAGCATGCAATAAAAATATCGAAAAGCTCCGGCACACAGCAGAAAAATAAACCACCAGCCTAGCCTAAATTTAGAAGTGGTGCCCTAGCAAATAATTCTATGTGTGTGTAAAGCTTGTGTGGTTTGGATAGATCCTAAGTAGGGTGATTAGTTAAAGTTATCTAAGGTTCAGGTTTGTTTGAGGTCTGAAAAGGAAACTCTATTTAAAGTCAAAGTATTAATGGATTAAGGTCCATTTTAAGTTAATTTGGTTTGTTGATCGGTTTTAAAAGCCTAGGGAAGTTATGTTTGAAGTTTAGGTTTCATTAGCCAATTTTGGAAAGTCCCGGGTTCTCCTAGGTACTAGGTTGAGAGGGTCCAAAAAGTCACTATAAGAAATAGGATAAGTTTGGGTCTTCTAATATTTTTGGAGAATACTAGACCTTAATACGAGTAGTTAGCCATGTAGTACACTAGATTTGGAGTTTTCTAGGAAAAGTTATGAATTTTCTAAGTTTCGGGCCCTAGACTATATGCTCGGGTTGACCAAAAAGTTGACTTTTCTGATTTAGCTGAGTTTCTAAAATCTTAAT